CAGACCACCAAAGGATTCCTGCCAAGGATGCTGGAGCTGCAGAATGGACACATTGTTTGCCTGAACTCTGTGCTGGCCTTGTCAGCCATCCCGGGTGCCATTGACTACTGCACCTCCAAAGCCTCCTCCTTTGCCTTTATGGAGAGCCTGACCCTGGGGCTGCTGGACTGCCCGGGGGTGAATGCCACCACAGTCCTGCCCTTCCACACCAGCACCGAGATGTTTCAGGGCATGAGAATCAGGTCAGTCCAGGGGAACTACAATAAAGCATCTCATTTTAAATGAATCATCAGAATACACTCCTAATAATGCTTCATTTAGTTAAGAGAATTTGATGTCTCATTTGGCTGCCTGGGAACAGAGGGTCACTCTAGGCCACCTGGGACTCCTCAGACTGGTTCCCTTGGTTTGCTGGCGTGTTCCTACAGCCTGGACCCAGGGAGACATTTGCTCCTCCAGAGAAAACAGAAAGCTGTTTTTCCCCGAGTGCATTTGGGCCATATGCAGGCTTCAGAGAGGGAGGGGAGGCAGCCTGAAAATTGAGGTCATTCCAAAGGAGCAGTCTACAAATTACTTGAGAATTAACAGTACAAATTCCTTCTTTATTCGTTGAAATAATTAATTATTTCCCGCTGGAGGGAGTGACAGGCACTCACTGCAGTGAGGCTATCAGTGCCTCCTTTTCACCTCCCAGGGAACAGGCCAAATTAAAAGACTAATGGCTGCGTAATTGATCTTTTACAATGGACAAAATAACCTATTAATATAGTTTGTGCTCTCTTAGTCAAGAAAATATGCAGTGTCAAGCTGTTGATGGGCTGGGAAAAACTTTGTTTGGTATTAAAAGCGGTGGGGGAAAATATTTGTCTTTTACCTGTCAAGAATTTGAATCAGGCAAAGGGCAACAGAGAGGAAGAGGAAAAGCCAACACTGAAAAGACAGCATTTTGGTATTGGTTTGCATACAATTTAAGAAAACCCTTGAACAGTCTTAATTGTTTACCTAACCTGGCAGTACTGGCTGCAACTGGAACTTTCTGCTTCTTCTGGACTGCTTTGGGGCATGTTTGAATGCCAGTAAGCAGTGATAGCTTAGTGAGTAACAGGACTTGGACAGTGATATCTTAAAGGAGTATGGTTAACAGATAATTATTTTTTATTTTATTTTATTTATTCAGGTTCCCTAATATTTTTCCTCCTCTCAAGCCAGAGACAGTGGCTAGGAGGACAGTAGAAGCTGTTCAGATGAATCAAGCCTTCCTGCTCCTTCCATGGACAATGCATGTTCTTGTCATCCTAAAAAGGTAATTTTTCCTTTGCCCCACACCAGCCTAGCCAGTGAGACAGGGCTGGCTTGGAGTCGTGTGTGTCTGTCCACCAAGGTGAACCTCAGCTTGACTGTAACCCAGTATCCAGGATCACATTGGCTCATGCCTTACCTTGAAAGACAGTTGCAGGAACAAAAGGGAGAAAAATTTCTCAGATTCCCTTTGTAGAAGTTTTCCCTGGGTATAACCCCTTCATGAAACCAGTTTCACTCCCAAAATTTGTATTCCCGAAGTCTGAACTGGAATTTGTATCTAGGAAATGCAACAGTTAGCATCTGCATGTAGTTGATTTTGATTTGGTAAGGCACCTTGTGCACCCCAGGCTTGATGTGTTAAAGGATTTCTGTACAATAAGGTATGTACATCCCAGCTGTGCTTAGAGAGCATTGCTTGTCTGCAAGCAATTAAACTATTAAATATATATTTTGTGTATGATTAGGACAGAATCTTTAAAGTCTCTATGGAAAGAAAGTTAAAACTTTATATCCTGAAACAACTAAAGAGAAGGGACATTTAAAATTGTGTATCCCTGTGGGTTTGCACTAAAGCCTTTGGAAAACCTGCTTCAGTCAGAAACTGAAACAAGGCCATGATATTTCTGTGGAAAATAATTAAAACACTGCATTTCAAACAAAAAAAAACAAAAAAAATTCACAATAAGTGCTTTGCTCCGAGTGTAAAATTTGGGATACTCTCTAAAGTTCCCAGAAATTCTGCAGGCTGAAAACGGGCTGTTCTCCTTCTCCTTCAGAATTAATCATTAATTTTCCATTGCAGTAGCAGTCAGGAGATAAGATCTTTATCCATACCTTGTGATAAGAAAGCCACATGCCTAGCACCAAGAGATGGCAAGTTAACCAGGGAACTCAGGTCAAATTTGGGTATTTCAGAGTACAAGATTCTGCATGTTTGGGAGGAATAAAACATGATGATATCTTCAGATGACAGTTTTTACAGCCCCATTTGGATAAATATTTCTGTAGAGAGAGAGCCACTCAGTGTAACTTTCTCCCTTTAAGCCTCCTGACAGCAGGAGCCTGACAGGTTGTGTCTGTGCCCTCCCACTGGGTGACAGCTGAGAATCCCTGCACCCAGGTGTGTGTGCATCCAGCCATATTTACACACCCTCCTGTCAGAATACACAGAGCCTTGTCTGATCTGCTTGTTTTCGTTCTGCTGCTTCTGCAGCATTCTCCCTCAGGCAGCACTTGAAGAAATCCACAAGTTTTCTGGGAGCTACACCTGCATGAACACTTTCAAAGGACGAACATAGACTCGGTGGCACAAGGACTATTCTTCAGTGAGACCAACACAAGCATGAAAACCCTGACAGGACTGTGAATCAGCAGGCTTGGCTTTTAGCCTGTTCATGTGACTTGTGCTGCTCTGAGGCAACACATTTCTTGCAGGTCATATCCATAGTAACACGACCTTTGCACAGGATTGAGTGACTAGACTATGGACCCTTGGAAAGGAAAACAGAAAGTGTGAAATGTTTATGCCATGTTTAATTCTGTAGAGTTCCATTGTTAAATCTGCTCATAGCTGTAAGATGTCACTTTTGTTTCTCGAGTGTCTGTAGGCTGCCTCAGCTGGGAGGCAGCACATCACACCCCATACCTACTTTATCCCCTCTCTTCAGAGAAACTGCAATTACAAACTGCTACTGGTTTCATTTCCGCTGGTTTTTGATAGGGGAACTTAAAAAATACTTTGAAGAACTAGAAGTTGCAGACATTTAAGAGAAACTTCCTTCCCTTTATTTACATCCCCTGATGAAGCTGTTCCCAGCTCACATCAGGGAAGGGGCAAACTGTGGAGCAGTGTTTTCCTTGTGAAAGGCCACCCAGGACTTCTGTCTGGAAGGACTGTGCTGGGCCCAGGAAGGCTGTCTGACTTCACCTGTGAAGGCTGGAGAGGAACCCCCAGTCAGAATCCCCAGTCAGAAGACCAGGCAGTTTGAATAGTGGGAGATTCTTTCTGTCACTGAACTGATAAATGAAATCTAATTGCCTTTCTAAATATTTTTGTTCATTTATGATGAAATATATATATATATTTTTAGCATTAATCCCAGATTGCCACGCACGTAGGCAGCATCACATTGAGGATGAACTAAATGTAGAACTAAAACTAGAGCCTGCTTGTACAAACATGCATTCACTGACATAATCCATGCAGAGGAAAATCCATTGTATCAATCTGCACAGTGGAGTAAGTGGAATAGCACTCTAAAAATAGAAGAGACAGTTCTGTAGTGCTCATGAAATGTGGAGTTTGGAAGCACAGTTAGCAAAGACCTGATTAAATGCACGTTGAATTCAACTGCGAATATACCCCTTGTTTTTTAGGGGCACTGCATCAGGCACTGATCAGCCAGAAGTGATAAATACCACTTGGACTGAAATGCCAGAAGCAGCTAGACGTTATTTATTTTTGTAATGATATATTCTCTTTGACAGCCTAGAAAGAGCAACACTGCATTCCTGTGCCAGATGCAGTGTGCAGTGCTAGGCTTAGTAATGTAGCTGAAACATATTTGGAACACTACTAAAAGAGGAATTAATATAATTACAGGAAAGTACCAAACCTAACTGGAGAAGACCTGAACGAAGCGCCTCAAGGAAAGCCACGTGGTTAAAGTAAAGGAGTAAATTTAGGGCTCCTGACTTGAATTTCAAGCTTTTCCATAGATGTCCTGTGTGACCTGGGGCAAACTGCAATTTCAAGGATGCAACATGACCTGCAAAGGCACCTCAAAACTTAAGTCTGGTTATCTGTCTGTCAAAAGCACAGCAAATTCAAATGCAGCATACTATAGAAAGGAAAAGCAGTATTTGTTCATAAACCAACAGGTTCTATAAAAAAAAATTAAGACTATTAAAAAACCCATATGCTGAAATATACAATTCCCTAAAAGAGCTCTGAGTTAGAGCAGCAGAGCTGTGAGCTGTGTTGGCAATACTCCTTCTGTTCTGGCCTGTAGAATGGAGACCAACTAAGGTGCAAGGATGTCAGCGTTGAAATCTGCAGGTCTGGACCTTACTGCAAATCAGTGTCTTGATCTCCTGAGCAGCTCAAGGAAGAGGCAGCCAGAAGTGGCACTGGTGCCAGCCCCTGTGCCCACGTGGGGGTTCTGAGGAGCTCCCCCCCTGGCACTGCTTTCCCTTGGGGTGCAGGAGGTCCAGGCTGCAGCACTGTGCCAGCCTTGGAAAGGGTTCTCACAATGGGGTTTTGTTGTGAATTCTGAGATGTCTGAGGCTTTCTGGAGAGGATGAAAAGAAACTTTGATCTCTGTGATTTTGATGCCCACCCTAATAGATGCTTTCAGCTTTAGTTTTTGTCAGTTTTTGGAGAAGAAACTCAGTTCATTGAAAGCACAAGTGCAATGAGGGGAGAACCCTTCCAGGATCTGCCAGGAGTGCTGAAGGTACCGTGTTTGTCAGGGGATGCTGGGGAGGGGAGGCAATGGTTGTCCAGCCCTCCTCTTACGTGCTCTAATCCTTTCCAGTTTGCCATGAAGCAAACAGAATTGGTGACAGAGGACACCCCACAGTGCTCCCCTTACATTAAACCTTTATGCTGAGATTCTGTTCATGGATAACATCCTGATATGCAAAAATGAGGTAAAAACTAATAGGCACATTGCAGTCAAGTCCCCACTCATCCCCAAATCCTGTCTCAGAGCAATTTGCTCTTTTCCTGCACTGGACAAAAGATGTTCCCTATCTGCAGAGGTTGTCTTACATCCCAAGTGCTGTTGATTTCTTTCTAATGAATATAAACAAGTCAGGACGTAGCTGAGACTCTCATCATCTCACTCCTCTCATGCACAGGCACAGACTTCCCTCTCTCTTTCCCTCAGGGTCTCTGAGCGGACAGCAGGTCAAATAGCAGTCACAGTGGGGGAGAGGTATGCAGCAAACAGAAAATAATGAGGAAAACATTGACTTTGCTTTTCAGATAGTGCAGAAGGGTTGAGTAAGAGAGTTTCTTCTCTTCTGAGTGTTGCAAGACAGAGTGCACTCCATCCAGTGAGCTACTTGCAAATTTGGGTGCATACATTTGAGTACTTTTTTTCTTTAACAGAAAGGCTCCCCTGGAATGCCTACTGAGGTCTACTGTCCCTTTTCACATAAGGTTAGTGTTGGGTAATCTTAAAGTGCTGCAAATGTCGACCAGCTCTGTTGAAGCCTAAGGCCTTCTCAAAGGAATTTCCGCCCTTTGACTTATTTTAATTTTGGTTTTCCCTCTTCTCTCCACTGCCTCCTGCTTTCCACTGCACAATTATTTTTTTTTCCTTCTGTTTTCCTATGTCATTACTGCACTTTTCAGTGCCACCATATTGAAGCCAGATGTCATACAAAGAGTCTGGAGTAAATCGAAATCAGGGTCTATATTTATTATCCTGCTAGAGGAATCTAGGTGAAGCTGTAGGAGCAGGACAGAGAAGGTTCATATAAAATCAATTTTACTTGCTCTGATCTGTGAAGAAGTAGAAGACCCCTTACTGTCATTTTTATACAGGAGATTGCTGCTGTTTATAAATATGAATGATAGAGAAATGTTAGTCGTTTGGGGACATATGTTCTCCTGACATAAAAAGACGCTATTTAAATGGGAGGATTTTTCAGTTCCAGGAGTTTTGAGAGGCTGCTGTTTATACCAAGTAATTTTCAGACATATGAGGCAGGGCAGGGAGGGGAGTTGTCCTTTTTAAGTAAATCCAATTCCTCATGTTCAATATTTAATTTTGTATTTTGTTTTTGAAGAGAAAAGAAAAAAAATCTGCGGTTCCCTCATGCACTTTTGGTGAACTTTGAAAAGGTCCTTCCAGCCATAGCCCTGCTGATGGCATGATTTTAGCAGAGTGAAAAGGAGGGAGCCCTGAAAGTGGGAACTGTACCTACTCATCCATTGTTCTGTTGAGGTTAAAAAGGGACAGAGTCCATCCCAGCAGCTCTTCTAGAGCTTCACAGAAAGAGAAGAAACTGGTACTGTTATGTAATGTGTTAATTAGTGTGGGTGGATATGATCAGATCTAGTGTTGCAAGCCTTTCAGACAACTCCCTGAACACTCCCACCTTCAGATATTAACAGATAGCACTGCACTTGCCAAATCTCATAAAAACCTGGTAACAGACTTAATGCAGGCAGAGCATAAGTGGGTGCATTTATTTCAAAGAGAACACATCTGTTCAGAGCAGAAGTTAATGTGGCCTCGTGTTTTTCTCTAGCCGAAACACAACTGTTGAGAAAGGAATAGAGGGTGACCTTGGCTCATCCATTTTGGTTTTATTTCTTCACGTGGCTTTAATAAACTTAATCTGGGGGACAGCCACCTTTTTTTGACAGCACTTGTTTGTATGTTTGGGGCAAAGGAAGATTATGTCAGATGTAATCTTTTGCTTTTTTCCCCAAACGACCGACAGCCCTGAGACTCAGAATGTTCTGCATGGTGTTTGTAGCTCTCATCCCCCTGGTGCTGAGGCCCTTCAGCCTCGTGTTGCTTCTCAGCCTCCCGGAGTGTGCAGCCCGTCAGTCACAAGCAGCAGTGACACCCTCTGATGATCTGAACCCTCTTTGTTCGAGTGCTTCTCTGAAGGAGATTGTGAGATGTGAACAGTGGCAGGCACCTCTCACAGATTTCATCAGCTAACTTGGAGAAGTAGGTGAAGAAAACCAGAACTTCACCTTCTCCCTGCTACCCCTTCTCTTGCAGGCAGTGCTCCTGTGGGAAGCTGTCAGTTCAGCTGCTTTCCTGATGGATACACTGCCCCCTCTTCCCACCTCTAGTCTGCTAGGATTGCCTCAGTCCCCCCAGGGAGCTGACACCGTCAGCAGGAGCAGCCCTTTCTGTGTTCTTGAGGGGAGTCAGATCAGCAAGGCTGTAGTTAGAGAGGAGACCAGGCTCTGTTTGGGTGGGGCTGAGGTACTCCAGCCTGTAGACTACAGATGGGAGACCCAGGACACAACGTGACTGTTGCCAGTACTGTAGAAGGCATGGAGTGCCCCCTGCTCCTCTCATCTTATCTTGAAACACAACCCTCCTGTTCCTACAGCACAGCTGGGGCTTTGGCAGAGACATCTATTGATCCAGCCTCTCTGGACTGGGGACGAGGGAGAACTGGACCTTTGATCAGACAATTTACATCTTCACACCTTCCCAAGGAGTCCCAACTTGCTAGTTGCTTGTGCTTGCTTTTGCCATGGGCATCACGACATACTAATGCAGAAAAAAAACAAGGAGAATGTATATGCTCATTTTTCTGCATAAACCTAGAAAAGAACAGCTCCTCCTTAAACGAGGGAAGAAAGCACTAATTTGAGCTTGAGAGTGACCAAAGAGGAAGTATCTGAGGAAACAAACTAGAGGATAGATGCAGTCTGAGGGGGAGTGTGATGGCCCTGAGCAGAGAGAGGCGAGACAGCCCCTTATTCCTGAAGCTATAGTGTGGTAGAGGCATGTGGTTCCCATCCAAACACAACGTCTGTAAGAGCAGCATGTTGTTACTCCTGCTCAGTCCTGTGGGTCACCATGCCCTCCAAAGTGGTCCACTAGCTTTGTGGCTTGCTGGCTCGGACCAGCCCAACACACCAGTTACTGTTTGCTCTCTCCTGTTTTTTTGAGGAAGGGAAAGCAACCCATAGGTGTGAAACCAAGGAAGGTCACGTTCACTCAGCACTCACTCTTTTCCTAGCCAGCTGCAGAGGTCATCCATCCATCCTGCCTAGGTACTGCAGAGACAGGTGCTTCTCTGGCTTGTGTCAGTGACCATCCTGACCTAGTGCTGCTAGGTAGATGTGATTCAGTTTCCTGGTTTTTATTTATGCAAAGCATTTTTTTAGATTTTAATTTTATTTATCTGGAAGAGCTGCCTTTGTATTGTAAAGACTTCACAGACAGGCATCCTAGGCATGAAATTTGTCTGTGTTTATCAAATGATGACAAAAAAATACAAAAGTGAAAAGTTACTGTTGGACATCTTCCCAAAGAATATTCTTCTCCAAGTAATGTGGATTTCATGCAGAAGAACACTGCTGGAATATCCATGCCTTAAATCCAGACATCTCAGAAGCCTGCTGGCTCCTGTATGAAAATGACCCTGCCTTCCAAAACTGACCTCCCCCACATCTTCTGATGGGTGTGCCCCTGTGACTGGTACCTGGGCAAGTCACTGTGGTGGTGCTGTAGTGGGGAGGAGGACTGCAGGGAAAGCTGTGGGTGCAGCTCATAACGGAACAAACTGATTTCACTTCCAGTTTGAAAAAAAACAGATGATAGAATGAGCTGACACGATAGCCAGGACAACACCAAGCA